TTGAGGCAGAGACTCAAGTAGTCCAGGCTGTCGCTGACCTCTGTGTAGCCAAGGATGACCTTGAACCTCTGAGTCCCCTTCCTTCACATCCCAAGTGCTGGGATTGCAGGTGTGCACCCCCATGCCCAGCAACTGTCCCCTTTTGTTTACTGATTTACCAAAGACCAACTACATGAACACATCCTACCCAAACAGCCAGGTACTGTAGAGCAACCGTGGCCCACTTGGGAGAAATACCGGTGACTGTCAGCAAGACGGACCTGCATATTCACGCACAGCCCACCCATCACAGGGAACTCACCTCTTACAAACCATGACAGGGGTGGTGTCAAGGCGTCTGTGCTCCCTGCCAACATGCCCAGCCCTATCTCCTATGTGTCCCTGCCCTTTGCAGGTGCAATCGCATGTGACTGTATGACTTGGTAGATCTAAGCAACCAGCAATGTCTCTCAAAAGAAGTTTTTTGGCAGACTCTGGGCCACAAGGCTCCTCTAGAGGCCCCTGAGACAGTAGGCCCTGTGTTGTGGGGTTTGTTGTTATCTAAGGCATCCTTGGGTGTTAGTGTAAGTACGTTTAAGTTGGATGTGGCCTTAGTATAAGGCCCTGCTTGGTCTATATGGGGAATTCTAGGCCGGTCAGGGTTATATATCAAGATCCTGTCCCTACAACTGCCCAGACAGAAAGGACTGAAAGAAGTGAAAAAAAAAAAAAAAACCAAGACAAACAGGCAGGCGGGAGGGAGGAAGAAAGGGAGGGAGAGAGGGAGGGAGGGAGAGAGAGAGGGAGGGAAGGTCAAGACAACAATAAAGAAGAAAGAATAAAGGGAGGAGGGAGGGAAATTTCTTCCCAGTCACCAGGTCCACCCAGCACAATGTGGCCTGTGGTAGAGAGCCGAGTGGTGTCCTGTGGATTAAAAATTAATCCAGTTCAGGTCCCTCTGTCCAAGTCATGACCAGGACAGAGAGTCCCAGCTGCTGGGCCATTGCAAAGCAAGGAAGCAGTGTGCCATCCTGACAGCCGAAGCCAGTGTTTGTGACAGTTCCATGCCAAGACAAGTCACGCAGACACCTGTGAAGCAGGAGCCGGGGGCCGAGCTGGTCTGCTCTAACTGCTTCAAACAGCTGCTCCATGTGGAGGCCCCAGTGTCTTTCTACCCGAGCCTCTCTGTAGGTATCTGCGCCCTGCCCAGGCAGCAAGAAAACACTCGTGTCCCTTCTGCAGGTTTTGAGTGGGAATTCGAACCACGAATTCATGGTTTCTTCCTGTAAGCTCTCCTACCCTGTAGTTTTTATTCACTGAAATGCTCTGTCACACCAATGACTTGGCCGTCCCAGGACCACTGCTTGAGTGGGGTATCATTAGTAATCAATGAGGTCACTGCTTGAGCCCTGCAGGCTGTGGAAAAATGCATGTCCCCGTTATCCTGAAATCCAGTGCATTCTAATCAGGAAGAGAAACCAATCCCAGATAATCCCAAAGCAAGCCAGAAAGCCTTCCTTCGGGTTCTGTTCCTCGGAAATTACAGCTAATAACAAATTCTATGCCATCCGGGGGCTGGGCAGAGGCAGGACACCACTCTGCAATGATATACTGATGTGGGGATCTCGGTATGGGAGGCAGGCTGTTTCTTTTGTGCCTGCTGCTACTACTACTGGAAGCTGGCAGGGCAGACAATTGAGAAGGGAGAACGGTTGTGGAGTGGGTGAAGAGGTCGGACTGGGAGCTGGGAGGGTGAGAGGTGTCCACAGGGTAGACTGCGTCACAGAGTCCTTAGCCCAGTTTGCTGTGTCCTATCCTGCGGAAGTCTCCCAGTCCTCTCTCACTGAGTCAAAAACACAGCTGGGCCCGGCGCAGAAGAAGAGAGACCAGGCAGGTTCCCACCTGCCAGGCGAGCCAGCCTGTGTCGTGTCTGAGCCATCAGCGAATCTGACTTCGTGCTAGGCTCAGACCTTCCAGGTGCAAAGTGAGACAGCCTTCGACTCCCCTTCTGTTTTCCAGACAAACTACACAAAAACACAGCCTTCCCTTGTGAGACCCAGTGCTTTGCAGGGAAATGAACTCTGGGAAGCACAGCTCGGGCTTGGCTTACCACACTCACCCTGAGGGAAACAAAATGAGGCTTCCTCCAGACTTGTTGCAAGCCCTGGCCCTGGCTCCCAGTTTCTGAAGCAGGCGGATACCATCTGCTCCAGTCTGAGCATCAGGCAGCTGGCTGCTTCCTTCCTACCTGCCTTCCTTGGAACCTGTGTGGCTTCAGGCAAAGCATTCTATGTCCCCGAGCTTCTGGTGGCACGCTCACTGCGGGAGGAGAGCTTCTGCCTCACATGTGGGTGCTCGAGAATAGGCAGTCTCCTGCATGGCGGAGTTCTATGCATTAGCTTGTTCAGTTCTGGCCTCCCTGTCGTTTACCACTAGGAGACGTCCCCTCGACCTCGTTTGCAGTCTGAGGACAGCTATGTGGAGTGCTATTTTGTTTGTGATCTAACAAACAAAGCTTGCCTGAAGATCAGAGCGTAGAGGTAAGACACTAGTTAGCCATAGAAGCCAGGCAGTGGTGGCACACACCTTTAATCCCAGTATTTGCGAGTCACATATCTTTAATTCCAGCACTAGGAAGGTGGAGACAGGAGTGATATGGCTGGGCAGAGAGAGGAATATAAGGTGGGAAGAGACAGGAACTCAGATGCAGTCTGAGGCTTTGTAGAGACAGGATCGCCTCTTCAGTCTGGGGGTTCAGTAGAGGTAAAAGTCTCTCTAGTGGCTGCTGCCCCACTTCTCTGGTCCTTCAGCTTTTGCCCCCTGATATCTGACTCTGGGTTTTTATTATTAAGAACAATTAGAATTCGTGCTACAGCTATGAGCATGTGAACACACACACGCATAAGCACACATACATGCACACACCCCTCCCCCCACCACACGCACACGCTGACATCCATGGGTTCAAATTTTTGGCCCATGTTGGTATCCAATTTGAGTCCAAAGCACTATTTCTGATGCTGGCACAGGTCCTGTGGTCCCAGGGGCCTGAGTGTGTATTCGTGTTCTCTACTGGCTTTTACACATAGTGCGTTTCCCTATCTCTTAAAGGGCAGCCATGAAATTCCAGGGCGTTTCTGCTAAGAAGTGGGCAGATCAAACATGAGGTTTCGTCACAAGTTTGGAGGTTCCCTCAGCTCTCTGCTTCCTCAGAGCTGTTCCCAGCAGAGGGTGGGCCCACGGTGGCAATGATCAGGTGTTATTCTGCAGAGGCAGAAGGCATCCTAGAGCCCTGCCAACCTAACCACCCAGGGGGACAATTCAAAGAGGCATATAGAAGAGAGGAAAGGAGCAGCTGGCTCTTGGTTTGAGTCCAGGGGCTTCTCTTGGGAACCCCGTAGTGTGGGATCATCACTGAACTGTGCTGTCTTCTGTTTCTCCCTCACTGAACCAGACTGAGGACAGTGCATGACGGTGGGCAAAGCAAGGCCTAAGCATCAGATCCTCGGGTCTGATTCTGGGACCAGTCTCCCAACCTCTCCTGGCCCGAGTGGGTAGGTAGAGGTTCCTCGTGGTCCCATCCAGGTGTGCTGCTGTTTCTCTAAGCTCACAGCATCCCTGGCCTGGCTGAGAATCTTTGGATACTGGGGCTCAGAGCTGGGAGGCCCAGAGACAAGGACCTGAGCATCTGCCCTTTGGTAGAACTTACCAGCAACATGACACCTAGCCTGCCACCAGACTGTGACAGAAGCAGAGTCCAGGCCTCTTCATGACATCAAAACAGACAGAGGGACACTTCTGAGTTCCCCACAAACCCACTCAAGGCTGAGCTTGGGAAACAGTTCTGATTTTGAGAAAGAAAATGAATGTGTGGGTACATGTGTTTGTGCCCATACCCATGTGAGTGAGCATGTGCTTGTGTGCGCGCCTGTGTGTGCACGCCTGTGTGTGTGCACCTGAGTGTGTGCACATACAGCAACTTCAGTAGTCATTTCTGGTGCTGACTATTGAGCTCCAGGAATCTGCCTACTGCTGATTAGAAGTTACTAATCAGTCACTGCTGAGGTTAGAAGTACACAGCCCCACAGCCAGCTTTTTTATTTTTTATTTTTTATTTTTAGTGAGTCCTGGTGATCCAATCCAGATCTTCATGCTTGCTTGAAGCTGGCTCTTTACCAGTTGAGCCATCTCTCCAGCCCCTCCCTCACCCCAATTTTGAAATTTCCACATGTGAAATCAGCTTGTGAGGCCCACTCTGCTGTTGTTTAAATATAGTCACTAGCGTATGCCAAAAATGTGTGAATTTGGGGTGATCTCATGTAATTACCTTAACTTAGAAAGTGTTCAAACACTGGAGTTCTCTAAATAGAGACCTCAAGTGTCCTGCACATATTTTGGAGATGTGAGTGAAGGAGCCTGGGCCCTTCCTCGGGAAGATTCCTTCTTTATTGTTGAATAATGCATCTCTCCTTCCTGTCATATTGGTGTGAGAAATCTCTGCCTTTTACAAAGTGACAGGTAATAGGGATTTTCAATGCCCCTAACTTGGTGAAAAATAAACAGATTGCTAACCTGTTCTTTCAGCCTCCTTGAGTCTCATTTAAACCGTGTCTCCCCACCCAGTGACATCTCAGGACTCCAGCATCCCTGTGCCCGCACCAGGTGAGCTCTAGGAGTCTCATTTCAGTTAGCTAACTGGCACCGCTAACTGGCACCCTTTGAGACACAGTCTCATGTAGTCTAAGCTGCTCTCAAACTTACTAAAGAACAGAGGCTGACCTTGAAGCCCTGACTCCCCTGCCTCCTCCACCCACCAGGTGCTGGGATTAGGGATGTGCACCCATATGCTCCCAGAAAGCGTCTCATTTTCTATTTCAAGGAAAGTCAGAGGGATTCAGACTACCCAGAGGTTCGAACCAACCCAGCTGCAGAAGCCGGATGCTGCCCTCTCTAGCCAGGGTGAGTCCCAGGTAGTACAGGGCTGTGCTTCGTCTTCCTCTAGAAGAAACATGAGCTCCAGGTCTGGTTTGAAGAAAGCCAAGGTTTAAGAAAATGAACTCAAATAAAATGTGAAAGGCTAAAAAGGCTCCCACCTGTTTCCACCTCCATCCCTGAGGGCATGCAGGTGCTGAGGAGATTCACAAAGGTTTAGGCAATCCTACCCCAGCCCCATCAGAGGAAATGCTGGGGGTGTTTTCTAGCTTTGCAAATGGGTTTATTTAATATCTACAGAGCAGATTTATAGAGTTAATTTGGCTTCTACTCAAGTAAAAGGTCTCTGGAGGGTGATGATGACAGTTCGGTTCCAGAAATCGAAAGAAAAGTCAATAGAGCACTGACCTGGAGCTGGGGGAGCTCCCAGGCCCAGAGCCAACTTCACAAGTGCCAGCTCAGCCATCCTGGGAGCTTGCCAAGTTGGGGTCAGAGTCCCTCTCTAAGACCTTGGGTTTAGGCCTAGGGTGCTGCCCAGCCCAATGGAATGCAGAAGAAGACAGATCCAAGACCTTGGGGCGTGCATCAGGAATACAGCAGAGGGGGCCTCCACTGTGGGAGGAACCCCCAGAGCAGAGCCCACACAAGGTATTAGCAGAGAAGCTTGAGGTAAAACTGATAATCAGGATTGTAGCTCCCGAGGTTTCTCTTCAAGCAGTAGACCAGCTTCCGATCACAATCACAAACCCTCCTCGAACAGTAGGACCCGGATTCTACAAAACAGACACCAAGTGCCGAGTGAGCACAGGAAAATTGTACCCCACCAACACTGACTTGTTCAAAGTCATATCAGAGGGTGTCTTCTAGTCTGCATAGACCCCCCAATCTTTGTCCTGCTCTGAGGGATCCCATAGTGGGTGGAGGAGGAATCTGCTCCAGGGTGAGACAGAATCTGATGGCAGAGCTGTGGCTCCTGAGTTAGGGAGATGTGTAATCTGATGGAGGAGGCTCGGCTCCTGAACTAGAGGGCCAAGATCTTGAGGTTTCCACTCAGGGAGTACCTGGTCTGGTGGAACAGACGCCTGTCCTTTGGGTGGAGTGCCTAACTTGAGGGTAGAGACAGTTTCTGTGGGAGACATTAAATAGAGATGCACCTGGGGCCTGGCTGTGAACTCAGGGCCCTGGCACGAGCCCCTCCTGCTGCACACTGGCAAACCTTTGGGCTTCAGTTACACATGGGAAATAAGGGAGGTGAAACCTACTCTGTCCAGGAAGAGGAAATCTGCAAGTCCATAGTACCTAGTAAAGAATGGGTCTAAACCGGGCCCGCCCTTCCCCAGAAACCTAGAAAGACTGCAACAGCCCGTGCCTTTCATCCTCACTCTGCCTCACAAGATACAAGCTGGCCCATCTCTTGGGCAGCATGACACCCTGTCTGAATGGAAAGCCCCCCTTACCGCAGGTGACCAGGCCCTCTGTGACTTTGTAGTCATAGGACTGAAACCCGCCATTACAGCCTTCCTTCTCCACTTCCCGATAACAGTGCTCATGCAGAAAACAGCACCTGTCAAAGTGAGAGATGGGGACGCTGAGTGGACAGGCACCCCCCTGACCTCTGTACCTGGGAGAGATTCCAAGATGAGAGAAAGTCCAAGTTAAATCTAAACGAAATCAGAGCCAGAGGTGCTTGGTGGGTGGGGAGCCACACGAAGATGTGGTGCTTGGCTGTTTAAATTCTCTCTGAAGGACTTTCTAACCTCCCGCCCCTACGAGAGGGTCTCTCCTTGTCCTGCATGCACCCCAAGCTTTATGCAGCTTGCCTGAGAAAGTTGGGCTTTCTCTAAGCCCGTGACAGTTCAGGCAAGATGCTCTACATAGAAGGCTTGCCTAGTAACAGCACCTCCACCAATGAGCCAATGCTAACACTTGCCTCTGGCCTCCACAACCAATGAGCTTGGTATCTAAGCAGCTTATGTAAAAGCTCTGGTTCTCCTGCTAATTAAAATTTCCCCTTATCTCACCCTCCTTGAATAGACCCATGGTGTCTACGGCATGCATATTTTCCTTACAGTGCACCCTGTTCCCAAATCAATAGTCATTCTTTGGAGATTCTCTCTGAATGTTATTTAGCCTGACATCCCGAGCAGGTGTGAAACTACAACCATATCCTCCTGGCAGAAGCTGTGGCAGTGAGTGTGAGCTGGCAGGGATGGTGTCACCCACTAGAACTGCCACTGATCAGAAGTTCACAGGCCCGCTTCTGCCTCCTGATGGCTAGGTGGAGTGTAGGTGTGAAGGTTTGAATGAAAATGGCCCCCATAGGCTCACAGGGACTGGCACTATCAGGAGGTGTGTTCTTGTTAGCATAGGTATGGCCTTGTTGGAGGAAGTTTTAAATGCTCAAGTTGGGCCCAGTGTCACTCCCCGCCTGGCCCTTGATAATGCAGATGTAGATCTCTCAGCCACCTCTCCAGTGTCATGTCTGCCTGCCTGCCTGCTGCCATGCTCCCCATCAAGACAATAATGGACTAAACCTCTGAACTGCTAATCCAAATTAAATACTTTCCTTTATTAGAGTTGCCATAGTCATAGTGTCTCTTCACAGCAACAGAACTCTAAGACAGAAGTCGGTACCAGGGACTGTGGTACTGCCGTGATAGGCTGGACCATGCTTTTGTCTGGAGGAATGTGCAACACTTTGGGACTTGGCACTAGAAAAGTAACTGAAAACTTTAAGCGAGGCTTAATGGGCCATACTAGTGACTAATGGAAGACAGTGGTGCTGAGGGTGATTTGAATGGGGGAGGGGTTTATTGCAGTGTAAGACGGTTCATAGCAGAACATCAATATGCGGCCTAGAGACTGCTCTTGTGATACAGAATATGACTGCTTTCTGCCCTTGTTCAAAAAATATCTGCCTGAAGCTAAACTGAATAGCTATGAATTACCAGCTTTGGCAGTAATTTGGCAGAAAAGAGGTCTTTCCGAAATGACTTAATATTGATTGTGTTGCTTGGTTATTACTGGCCAGTCTTATGCAGGTCGCAAGCTGAGTAAGGAAAAATTGGGGGGAAAAAGTACAGTTTGAGGTGAAAGGGGGAACCAGAAAGTATAATGGAGCTAAGTCCTGTATTCAAGGAGATAAAGAAATTAAAGAAAAGTCTGCTGCTAGATGGAATACAGGGGGTGGTGACCTCAGAGAAAGACCCCACCCAGCTAAGCTTCCAATTTGTGTGAAGGAATTAAAGCAAAGTTTAAGGCCAGGTGTGGTGGCACACACCTTTAATCTGAACACTGGGGAGGTAGGAGTAGGTAGATTGTAGAGGTCTACCTACATACATACCTGGTCATATCAGGTATGCCAGCCTGGTTTCAGAACAGCCAGGCATAGGCAGTGAAGGAGACCATCAACACCAGAAAACTGGTGTTTGAACAAGGGGCCCATGTTCCAGCCCCTGCAAGCAGAACCTGGCAGCTTCAGCCACGTGGTTCTGGCTTTCGAGTGAAGGATACAAGAAAGGGGCTGTGCAGTCTCCCTCCCGACTAAGGAAGGCCACTGAGGCCAGGTTTATGTCAGCGGTGCCCCTGCAAGGAGGCCTGGAGGTGCCATTGTGTGAAGCTGTGAAGGTGAAGCCTGGATTGCCTTGGAGACCCCATAACGTTGGAGATGCCAGAGCCGTGGGAATGGTGACACTCCCCTATCAAAAGGTAGAATCCAGATCTTTCCTCTCTCTTTTCAAGTTGACACATAGTAACTAGGCATATTGATGGGCACAATGGGGTACTATACATCCCATTAAAACTGTTCATCTTGGGATACTATACATCCCATTAGAACTGTTCATCTTGACTGTCAGCTTGACCGGATTAGTAGCTGTCTAGATGATTATAGAATCTTGAATGGGTCTATGAGGGATTCTCTAGCGATTCGATCATGGAGGCTAATGAGTGGCTTCATCCACTGATGGACTCAGAATACGATGGCATTATTAGGATGAAGCCAAAGGTGGAAGCAAGACCTAGTTAAATGAAGCGGACCACTGGAAGTGTGTCTCTGGTGACGATAACCTTGCCCTGTCATCTTTCTGTATCCTTCACTCTGCTTCCTGCTCACCATGAAGGGGCTCCGGTGGCAGATATTCCACCATCATATCCTGCCTCAAAACAGGCCCAGAAACACGGCCCCAAATGGCCATGAGCTGAATACATTGAAACTGTGTGCCAGAATAGCTGATTATGTTCTTCAGTTGTTCTGACAGTTATTTCATCACAGTGTGTGTGTGTGTGTGTGTGTGTGTGTGTGTGTGTGTGTGTGTGTGAGAGAGAGAGAGAGAGAGAGAGAGAAGGAGAAAAGTAACTAAAGGACCCATGACACTGCATAGCCATCGTAGTGATGCAAATCACTTACCCATCACCTCAAACACACATTTCTTTGTGGCGAGACCATCCAAGATCTCTCTTGGGCTGCTCATCTCCTGAGCTGCTCACTGCCCATTGACTGCCTTCACAGAACATCAATGCTTATTCCTCCTCTGTTGCATCTGTGCACTCATTGGCTAGCCTAGGTCTCCTCCCAATGCATCTGTGCACTTGTTGGCTAGCCTAGGTCTCCTCCCAATGCATCTGTGCACTCATTGGCTAGCCTAGGTCTCTTCCCAATGCATCTGTGCACTTGTTGGCTAGCCTAGGTCTCCTCCCGATGCATCTGTGCACTCATTGGCTAGCCTAGGTCTCTCCTCTCTTGAGCATTTGTGATTGGACCAATTAAGAGGACCACATAAGCAATACCGTGGAGCGTCAGAGGCATAGGACAAAAATACTATCTTGTGTTGTTGTTGTTGTTGAGACAGGGTCTTGCCAGGCAGCTGGGGCTGACCTAGAACTTGCTATACAGCTCACATCAGCTTCAAACTCTTGCTCTTACTGCCTCTACCTCTCCAGGACTGGGATTGCAGGCTCACACTCCTTCACCTTGTAGTTTGGGAATGTTTGTTCATAACCTCCCAAGAGTCTACCATGCTGTTAGAAAGTCAAGACAACCCTGCAAAGGACTCATAGAAAGGGCCCGAGGCAACAACCCAAGTTACAGCCATGATCCACCTGTGGTGTAGATCAACCAGCCCCAGCCAAACTTTGCAAAAGGAAACTGAACAGATAGGAGCGATTCTGCCATGGCCTCCCCAGACATCAGGTCCATGGGCAAAGTAAACAATCGTGTTTGCATTAAGCCAACACATAAGGATCATTTCTTATATTGCAATAAACCAAGTGACAAATTAAGCCATTGATATATTGGGACTCTTGGGAGTTACATGGCATATCTTTAAAAGCGGTTTAATTCTTCTGAGTCTTAGTTCTTCTTATTTTAAAGATTTATTTTAGAAGCCAGGTGTAGGGGTGCACTTCTTTAATTCCAGCACTAGGGAGGCAGAGGCAGACAGATCTTTGTGAGTTCAAAGCCAGCCTGGTCTACAGTGTGAGTTCCAGAGCTACATAGGGAGACACTATCTCGAAAAAGTTAAATTTAAAAAAATATATATTTTAGTTTCAGTTGAGTGTGTGTGTGCGCGTGTGTGTGTGTGTGCGCGCGCGCACGCGCACGCACATGTGAGCACTGGTGGCCAAAGAGGCCTGAGATATCAGGTCCGCAGCAGCTGGAGTTACAGGTGGTTGGGAGCTGACTAACATGGGTGCTGAGAACTGAACTCAGGTCCCCTGCAAGAGAAGTGTGCACTCTTAAGCACTGAGCCATCTCTCTGGTCCTGAGCCTCAGTGGTAGACTAGACACAGAATAAAAGGGGGTAATGAGAGCAGAGCCCAGGGCATTAAAGGTGATAATGTCAACTCACCAATCAGTATAATCCTTGGGGATCCCTTTGTCGCCATTGATACAGTAGCAGCCATAGAAGTTGTAGCCAAATACTGGCTCCTTCCCAGTCACTTCCTTGATCATGGACAACAATTGTCCGAAGTTTCCGTGCACAGCAGGCACACCTGCAAAACAGCCCAAGCCTCCAGGTGACACTGGGAATGCTGCAGCAACCCCACTTGGGGGCCGGGGATGTGACTGGGTTGACAAAGGGCTCGCCTAGCATGCATGAAGACCTAGTTTTGACCACCAGCAGTTTTCAAACTGTGTGTGGAGCAGGCCTTTTCCTAGCACTCACGAGGTGGATGCAGGAGATTAAGAAGATCACGGTCATCCTTGACTACGTAGAGAGTTCAAGGCCAGCCTGGGTTACATGAGATACTTTCTTTAAAAATAAAAAATCAAAAATCAAATTTAGAAGCAGAGTTTCGAGACAGCTCCCTCGCGTCACAAATTGGGAAACTAAGACTCCTATAAGTCTAGAAGGAAGTATGTTGCCTAGGGTTTTCAATGTAAGGAGCCAGGGGCTCCTTCCCTTCCTTGGGTCTCAAGTTCCTCCTAGGATCTCTAGATAGCTGGAAAGGCATCAAAGAGCAGAGTTGCCCATCAGGGACTTGTATGAGGGGCTAGGGAGCTACAATGAAGTCTAAAGTCAGATGCATTGTACCAGGCCCTCAGACCTTAGCATGACTGACTCCATGAGGGAAGTACCACTTGGGCCATAAAAAGCAGCACATAGACAGCACCACCTGCCAAAATGAAAACAGCAGCCTAATTCATGAAAGTCCAAACTGGGAAAGTTTCTAATTGTACTAACCTTGCTTTTTAGCTTCTGTTGGTTCTGCATCCGGCTAACTGTTCTTGTTAACTGAAGTCTGTCAAGCCAGGATATGGTTTTTTGTACTTAAAAGCACACCCGGGGAAAAGTTCAAGGCTACACTGTGAACATCCAGTGTGGCTGCCAGCCCCACTAGTAGACTTTCTATTGACTTAAACCCAGGTCCAAGTAGTCTTCTCTGAGGGCTGCCCTGCAACTTTTCAGAACCCTCCAGATGGGGTAGTATGCAGAAATACTGAACAGAGAATGACTTCAGAATCACCAGCTGGAGTCTGTCTGTCTGTCTGTCTGTCTGTCTATCTATCTATCTATCTATCTATCTACCTATCTATCTGTCATCGACCTATCCATTGAACCTAGTGCACCACTGTGCTGCAAGCGCCCTGCTGCTGAGCTGGCCCCCAGCCCGGGGCTGGGATATTTCTGAAGGATTTTGTGCTCTACTTTATTCTCGCTGTTTGTCTTTATTCTTTTTTTATACTTCGGGGGGATATCTGCCTCCCACATTTACAAGCTCCACGTCTTCATGTTCATAGCCTTCACACCCTGGCCTACAGTATCCAAATCCTGCCACAGCACCATGTCCACCAGTGCAAACGCAGGGGCCCAGGGAGATCAAGGCCTTTGCTGATATCTTTGTTTGCCCCGTCAGCACGGAGCTGAGGCTCAGACATAGGTCTCTGAGCCTCAAAGGCTGCTGGTCACCTTTCTTTCCTCTACCCATCACTCCCAAGGCTGGGGGAGGAGGACATCCAGAGATCAAGGAGCCAACACTTACTGCAGACCAGGAACCAAGCCAGTATGAGGAGGCCCTTCATCTCTTGGGTTCTGGAAAACAAAACACATCCCATTGTAGTGACGAGCTGCGGGCAGGCCTGCTTATCATCCTGCCCAGCTCCCGCACTGCTAGCTTAGCCCCAGAAATAATAACACATAAGTTGTATTCATTTAAATACTGCCTGGCCCATTATCTCTTAGTTACTGGCTAACTCTCACATCTTGATTAACCCATTTCTAATAATCTCGTGGTAGCACCACGAGGTAGTGGCTTATCGGAAAAGATTCAGCATGTCTGACCTGGTGGCTGGCTCCATGGCATCTGCCTCATTGCCCTCTTCCCAGCATTCTGTTCTATTTACTCCGCCTACCTAATTTTCTGTCCTATCAGAGGGCCAAGGCAGTCTCTTTATTGACCAATGAAAATAACACAATAGACAGATAACCCTCCTCCATCATCCCATGGTGTCTTTTAAATAATCGCTGCTGAGGCCAGTTCGGTCCCCACCCAGCTCCAAATTATGTCTGGGTGTTCCCTCCCTCATTGGGTAATCCACAGACTGCTCCAGCCGGAAAAGACAGGCAAAGCCTACAGGCCTTGATCCTCCGAATTCCTTGGAGAAAGAAGGTCATTACTGACTCTACCAGAAAGTGGGGGTGACAAGTACCCCCTACATTTGTGCCCTTGGCAGATGTGTAAATGGATATGGCTGGCACAAGATTAAGGGCAGGAACTGGCAGGCCCTAGATCCAGCTAAGGATCAATGTGGCGGGCTGTTGGTGAGGTGGCTCAGAGGGTAAAGGTGCCTACTACAAGCCTGGTGACTTGAGTTTGACCCCTGGGACCTCCATGGAAGGAGAGAACTGATTCCCACAAGTTGTCCTTTGATCTCCAGGAGCACACCTTTATACATACACACCGTGTACCAAATAGAATGTAAATAAAGGGAAGAGGAGCTGGGGCACTGAGGGAGGAGGGAGCTGGAGCACTGAGGGCAGAGGGAGCTGGAGCATTGATGGAGGATGGAGCTGGAGCATTGAAGGATGAGAGAGCTGGAGCATTGAAGGAGGAGGGAGCTGAAGTATTGAGGGAAGAGGGAGTTGGAGCATTATGAGAGGAGGAAAATGGAACATTGAGGGAGGAGGGAGCTGGAGTACTAAGGGTAGAGGGAGCTGGAATGCTGAGGGAGGAGGGAGCTGGAGCGCTGAGGGAGGAGGGAACTGACACTTGTATCTTGCTCCTGAAGTTCATGGGACTAATGTCTCTGAGCTCCCTGATGGTTATTTGAGGGCTGTAGCTGTTGGTCTTGGCACTGTTGCCACACTGAGAATGTTGGGTGGCCAGACAGTTGCTCTAGAATGGAGTCCAGGACCCATAGTGAGTCCTGGCCTTTGGGGGTTTCACTATGGCTTTGTGGCCCCAAGGCACACTGCAGGTTCTGACAGTCTACAGGTGTCACTGTTCCCATGGGAACAATGGGGCTCAGAAACTGCCCAGAATCTGCCAGAGGTCACTCAGCGAATGGAGTGGAATCGAAATGTGAATCTGGGTCTGGCCCCTCTCTACACTGTGCCAGCCCTCCTCGAGAGGTAACGTCTCTTAGTCCTGGCATTCTGTCTTCCTTGAAACTCATCCTCTAGGACTCTGCCTTAGTGTCTGTCTTTAACAAAAACACAGTTCCCGACTGGAAGTTTGCTGGCAGTCCTGGCCAATAGGCCGAGGAAAGGTTTCCAAGGTGGCCTCTAGAAGGTTCCTCTGTCAGAAGCTGTCTGCTCTTCTCCACTCCCAGAATCCCTGACCCCTGAGTGTGCACAGCTGTCCAGCTGGTCTGTGGCCAGTTAGGACTTCCTTTCAGATGCCACACTGTCTCCAAGCCCCCCAAGTGGCCAGTGCTCTCTGCCCAGGTCCCTGGCACCCCGCAAAGGCCTGGCCTCCAAACACAGCATTTTAGACTCCTGGGACTTCTGGCTACTGAGCTGGCCTTTGTCCAGCAGCACCTCTGAGTTCCAAGAACATTCCTGAGAGTGCTGTCCCCACACAGCCTGTGCTCTGAGGCCTCCAGGCACCCAGATCAAACCGCCCGAGACACAAGTTCCCACAGTCATCCCCTCTGCTGCTTTCCTGAGGTTGTTCTGAAGTAAAGACGCCAGAGGCTACACACTGGGCATCTCCAATGTGCCAGACACTGTTCATATCACTCCCAAGCCAGCCATGGCCCTGACAGGGGACCTATAGACAAGCCGCTGTTTCTCCCCTTCAGTGGGATTTGTCAGATGAGAGGATGAATGGATAACAGTTGTTGATTTGACAGACTCAGGAACTGTGAGGCTCTGGCAAGAGGCTGGGGAGATGGCTCCATGAGTTAAAGCCTTGTTGGGCAAACATAGGGATGTGTGTGGCTCTAGCACCCACCTAAGGCAAGCTGAGTGTGTTTGCATCTGCCTCTACCCTCGTGCTGTGGGGCACAGCCCTGGGATTGGCTGACTCATTCCAGATTCTCCAGATTCACTAAGTGACCCTATCTCAAGGGAGTAAGTGGGCAGGGTGATAGAGCAGGTCACCCAGTAGGGCTCTCAGACCTCTGTGCTCACATATAGAATGTGCACACATGCACATGCGCTCGAGCACACACACACACACACACACACACACACACACACACACACACACACGAGGGGGGAGGGGAGGGGAAGGAGGTGAGAGATGGGGAGGGAAAGAGAGGGAGGGAGGGAGAAAGGGAGGGAAAGGGAGGGAGAGAAGGAGAAAGGGAGAGAAGGAAGAAGGGAGAGAGGGAGGGAGGGAGAGGGAGAGGGAGAGGGAGGGAGGGAGAGAGAGAGAGAGAGAGAGAGAGAGAGAGAGAGAGAGAGAGAGAGATATCTTGCATGGGTGAAAAAGTTACCCAAAGGTTTAGCCCAATCTGGTGAATCCCTCCTACTGACTCTTCACTTCTCTGAGTTACTGGATGTTTAACTCTGTTGTTCTTTTCCTGATTTCTTTTAGTCTTACTTTTTTTCCCTCCCCCGCTTCCCTCCCTCCCTTCTTCTTCTTCTTCTTCTTCTTCTTCTTCTTCTTCTTCTTCTTCTTCTTCTTCTTCTTCTTCCTCTTCCTCTTCCTCTTCTCCTCCTCCTCCTCCTCCTCCTCCTCCTCCTTCTCTCCCTCTCTCCCGCCTCTCTCCCTCTTTTTTTTTCTTTTGTAGGGGTGTCTTGAAGTCCAAACTGACTTTGAACTACATAGCCAAAGCTGACTTTGAATTTTTGATCCCCTTCCCCCACCCCTTGACTGCAGGCATGCACCAACCACTGGTCAGCTTATATGGTACTCTGCGGCACCCAGGGCTTCAGGCATGCTGGGCAAGCACTCTGCCAACTGAGCTACATTCCCGTCCCATGTATTTTCTTTCATAAAGCTTTGACATCTCAAGGATCTTAATGAATAGAAGGTGCCCATGTAGGCTAGCCAATTCCTACACAGCTAGCACCCGGCTCTCCTGTGGGCATGCTTTTCACATGCCAGTCAAGCAAGTCAAAACCTTCAGCCCCAGCTCCCACACACTTAACTCTCACAGGCCAGTCCAATCAATGTTAGCCCAATGGACCCTCAAGAGAAGCCTAGAGCTGCCCAGGCGAATCTCACTAGCCAATCCATTCTGCTCCCTCTCTTGCCCTTCAGACTCACTCATGCCAGTGACAACCCCACCCAGTGTGACCCTTGGCTCTGTAGCCCTCTTCTCCTCTGTAGGGAAGACTCTTAAATAATCATCGTCTTTGTGACCTGCTCTCCTCACCCGGGACTCTACAGAGCTCCTTGTGCTGTGCCATTGCTGTGTGGATAAGGGAGTTCCTACAAAAGAAATGCAAAAATAAGACACATTGGGGAGAGGAGCTGGCAGTAGGTCCTGGAGACAGCTGTCCAGCTGACCATCGGTAGAGCCCAGGGCAGCCCCGAGACAAGGCTGTGGCTTGTCTGTTTTTATCTGATAATCACAGGGGCACTGGCTGATAATTTCAGAGTGGAGTAGGGCTGCGATACTGAAAGGTGGGAAGGCCAAGGCAGACGCAAAGGAAACACAGAGGAGAATGTGGAAACCAGGGAGCTGCCAAGGTCATATGAGGAACAGGCCCTTCAAGGCCACATGAGGGAGCCCCATAAGCCCCAGACCCCCACTCCTATCTCCTGCCTGGAAAAGAATACCATGGTCCAGTCAGCTTTGAGATGACAGCGGCACCCTGTGCTGCCTCTGCTCCCCCACAGAGGGGCAGGGCCCACACACCCCTACTGGGAAGCCCCAAGAATGATAGCCTCACCTGAGGGCCCCTCTCTGTCCTCAGTTCCAGAGAATGGGCAGCAGCTGGACCTGCTTGGGTTTAAGCTGGACTTGACGCCTCCCACAAGCTGCCTGGGCCACCTCCAAGTTTTCTGGGAACGCAAAGAGGCCCACTTCAAAACCCCCTGTTGCTCTTCCCTCTAGATTCTTGCTGCAGGCCTCAGGACTGGGTGGCTTTCAGGAGAGATCTCCGGAAGGGACTGGCTTGAGCTGACCTGGGTCCAAGGCTGTATTTCCCACCAGAGACGGAGCCCTGGATCCCCACCCAGGCGCACTTCCTCTGCGATAGTAGGCCTTTGTGGAATGATCCAGTCTCTGGTTCCTTGTGGTTTTCCAGCCACAGCAACAACTTCTATTTTGTTCTGTCTTCTTCTCCCTCTGCTCAGAGCCGGGTCAACTCTGTCTTCCTTCTCTCCTTCAGCCCCAACATTCTCTGGAGCCTGTAAAGCCCCCCCCCACCCGGGGACACTGCAAGATGCCACTTACTTAATCCAGCTCGTAGCACTGTTGACATCTGACTCACTCACTATGGAATTCTTACACCCAGCTTGTCCCCAGTAGCTATTTAGTAGCTGTGTGACCCTGGGCAAGTAACAAAACCTCTCTGTTTCTTCAGATGAAACACTAAACACAATGACACCCCCCCCCCATAAGCCGTGCTGGACTGTTGGGGAATATTATTTTCAGGTGTGTTGCTTTTGTTTATGCTGCATTCTTTTTTTTAACTTTGTGGAGCTGTGATTCTTTGCCTGTCTAAAACTTCTGATGGTCCAAGAAAGAGCTGAATATCTGATAGCAAGGCAGGGGCAAGGGTAGGCGGGGCTGGCAGACAGAGAAAATAAGTAGAAGGAGAAATGAGGATGAGGAGGAGCAACCCGACAGCGAGGGGAGGTGGACATCAGGGGCCAGCTGGCCAGTCACCCAGTTACCCGGTCAGCCACGGAGTAAGAAGGAAAGTCAGACATACAGAAGTCAGGAAAGGAAAAATCCCAGAGGCAAAGTGTAGGCAGGATAGTTTAAGTTAAAAGCATTCAAGAAACAAGGCAAGGTAAGGCCGGGCACTCATGAAAAAGAATAAACCTCCACGTGTGTGATGCGGGGCTGGGGGGCTGGGCAGCAGAGTGGTGGACCCTTTAAAAAAAACAAAAGAATAAAGCATCACACACCACTGAACAAACTATTAAGTAATGTCACACAGAAGAGCATGTGGCTCAGTGGGTAATGTCACAGCTTCTACATCTTGGGTTCAAATCTAGACCTGGTCACTGACTGAAAACATTGTCTCAGGTAGTTTGCCTGCTTGGAGAAGCAGCCCTGAGCCTTAAAGGAATCAGTGCACATCTTAACACTGGTCACAATGGTCAGGGCCAAACGCTGCTAGCAAATGAATGATGGAGTGTTCTAGAAACAGGACAGCGTGCACTAGTGTGAATCCAGATAGCTCTCTCCATCCATCATCATCACGGCCATTATCACCTCCTCCTCCTCCTCCTTCCGCTCCTCAGTGCAGCTAAACTGGCTAGCCATCAAGCCCCAGAGATACCTAGGACGATCAGTGTATGCCACCATGCCTGGCTTTATTTTAATGCTAGGGATCAAAGTTGGAGCCTCATTTACTTGTGTGGCAAGCACTCTGCTGCCTGAGCTATCTCCACAGCCCTCCTGACTCTCTACCCTGCCTCCCTCCTATCTCTCTCTCTCTCTCTCTCTCTCTCTCTCTCTCTCTCTCTCTC